AAGAAGTAGACAAAGTATCCCTTGACATGGGTAGTGGAACGAGAACAGCCTATCTCCGTAGATTAAATAAAGTCTTCAGTTCAGAATTCCCAGTAGGTTACACGGATCGATGTATACCCGATTAATGCCAGGGGGTAAAACAGACGAAACTTTGTGATAATAGCAAAGATGGAGGCTATAGGCAAGATGTAAATGGTGTAAATAATAATTTTACGTATGGGGGATTAAGTCTTGTGTTCTTACGATTGTGCACAATGGTAACGATATAATAAGATTAAGAACACAACTGAGTCTATTAGAACACATAGAACAAGCCTAAATCTATCACTTGAAACTTTACAGGTCAGCCTCGCCATGCCTTATATACAGCGGTGACACGTTCGCATTCCGTGTATATTCCATTGGTAAGGAAGAAGTTCCATTGGAACAGTTTCGCCCCAAGACTTTCTGCTTTGTGGAACAGACTCCCAAGATGACTCCTCTCCAAACACTACCAAATTACATTCTAGAAGTAAGGCCTCGAATCGGGAGTGTGGAACCATTTCTTCATAGCTGTTGTTCCCAGGTCAACCCTGACCCGGGGTGGCTGCACCTGTTAGGATTCCTCATATGGGCAAATAGTGAACATTCAAACAAACACAATGTAATAGGAAAATATAACAATATATTTTATGATAAAAATATCAGTAATACTTTTTTTTTATACATATTTATAGTAAAACGACAAACAATACATTTTATAACAAAATGACCAACAATACATTTTATCTGTAGTTGAATACATACAATTGCATTCAAAATATATTTATTTTTATCTTAACATTGCTTTCAAATTAGTTAGATTTCGGCATTAGATAACCAATAGAGATTGATATCTCGCTAAAAATCAACCAACCAACAGCAACCAAATGAATTATCATACCTTTTCATTTTGGGTATGTAATAAATAAAAAAAATGGAATTGCTTAAAAACCATACAATTGTAGATGGGGGAAAATTAATCTCTATATATAAAACAAAAGTAGTCTGTGTGCCTGTATTTGCGTGTATGTTCGTTATAAACTTCCACATTTTTCAACCGACCTCGCTCTAACTTGACAAAGTGAGAGCTTAATGATCGAAAATGGTCATGATCAACATTATTTTTTCCGCTCCCCGCTCAAGAAAAAACACGAAAAACTGTTTCGAAAACCAATTTTTTGCCTGTAATTCCCTGAATTTTCAAGCGGTTTTCTCTAGATTTGACACGATCATTAATTATGACACAATTGTTTAAAGTTCATTCGCAAGAAATCCGGATAAATGCAGTTTTCTTTGCCAATATTTTCCTGCCTTCCCAGATTCGGCTATCAATTCTGGAAACTGCAATTGGTTGTGCGGGAGGGCAATATTGACCCCTAAATACACGAGAAATGCCAAAATCAATGAAGAACAGTTGCAATGCCTGCCTGGAAGCCTTCAAATCTACAAGTCAGTTGAGACTATTGCCGATCCACAAGAATTGGTTTACTATCCATTAGACGCTTTCAGCCCCTCCAGACTACCGCTCCATGTATTGCGTCTCAACATCGGATCCCCAGTTATGTGGTTGAGAAACCTGGAACTGCCAAAACTCTTGCATTGGAACCCGCCCCATGGTTAAGAAAATGCTGCTATTTTTATTGAGGCTACTAATCTCACAGAATGTGGTATGGGAGAGGATGCATTTATACGCAGGATACCATCAGATGCGGAAATCGCCATTGCTTTGCGTAGATTTCAATTTCCACTAAGTCTTTCCTTCAAGATATTCGACAGTTGATCAGTGTGTAGGGAGATCGTGGGGTATAATGACATTAGGCCCAAGTAGGAATCAACAAGTCTCAACAAGTAACTCTTTTCACAGCAGGTCTATTTGAAGTGAGCTATGCTTCTCCCATGGGCAGCTATACGCTGGTTCTTCTAGAGTGGGCAGCAAAACGAATTTATTTGCTTTCTCTTCAAATGGGTAAACTAAAAATGTTATCTACAGAGAGGTGTTGTAGGCTCTTCACGTGTCCACCCATCGTCATCAATCCTCTAACACGTCAGTCCTTCCGGTTTATTCCTGTTTCCTTTTTTTTACTGTGTGTCTTTCCCTTTTGTCGGTATTCTCCATTCATTTCGCTAGAAGCCATTGCCATGTCTCGGTGTTGTGTGGAAACGAAAACAAGCCCTTTTTCTAAACTGTAACACTCTAAGGGGACGTATTCCAGCACTTTTTAGGGCTACCATATTTTGATTGGTAATCTCTCAGAAAATGCTGTCAACCTCTTTTCAGAGCTACCAATATTTAATCTTTACACTGACAGTAAACAGCCCTTTTCATGATTTTTCTTAAACTGCCACTTACAAGCATCGCTATGATTCAGACACGAGCAACGCCGGGTATCTCTGCTAGTTGTCAATAAAAGTAACACTAGTAATAAAATTTGTCTACACATTCCTTGGGGCAATTCAACTTTTATTAGCTCATATTGGGAGGCTGGATCCCATAAGAACAGATTTTGATATCCAGAACGTTAGTTATTTTCACAAAACGATTATTTAGCCAAATTACCCATGAGGTTGAAATTAAGAAATTAATTGTAAACGTCTGCTGAAAATATATCAAAACAAAAAAGAATGTGTTACTAAAACACATGTTTTTAATATAATAATAATAATAATAATAATAATAATAATAATAATAATAATAATAATAATAATGTCAAGATAAACCGCTTCATGGTCAATATTCTTCCCGTACCAAACAAGCTGACGTAGACAAAACCCGTACCCATCAGTGGCTACGTAGTGCAGGGTTGAAAGCTGAAACTGAAGGTTTTATCCTTGCTGCACATGATCAATGCTTGCTAATTAGGAATTATCAAGCACATATGCTAAAATATTGTTTTAGTTGGAGCCCTAGAATTGGTTGGAAAAACACCAGTAGACTAATTGAAGGGATTCCTGGAAGTCCATGCCTCAAAGAGATACAAAAAAAAATGTTCTCATAAATACATAAATACGAATGGCTTTATCTATGTCATTTTTTTTTTCTCAGTGGAAAGTGTCATGACGCCATTTCTAAACTTAGGTCCCTGGGCGCGTCTGGGATAGAAATGTGTAAATGCCAGAAATCAAAGGAAATAATAATAATAATAATAATAGTAACAACAACAACAACAGTAAAATTATAGGTTTCTGTGTTATGAATGAAAACATTATATACCTCCTTGGATATAAGTCATAATGATAATAACAGTGTAATTGTATCGTCTTAAAATATCAAAGTCTTTGATATAATCACTTCACGATCTTCAACATTTGTGATACAAACATGCATTTGCTAATGGAGATATCTCATGAATCAGCATTTCAAAATTTTATCTTTACCTTGTTCCCGAAAGACACCGAGAGCCAATGATGATCTCCTTTTAAATAACATGAGATAAACAATATTCGGTTACACTGAATAATTATTGGCGTCAGCAATGGTAGCATACCAGTGTCGGAAAAATTATCAAGATTTTCGACAGTTGATAAGTGTGGAGGGAGAACGGGGGTCGTGCAATTCCTTAGCGTAATGGAAGATGTTAGGCTCCAGTAGGAATTCGAATACCCTTAGTCGATAACTTTTACGCCATCTTGCATCTCTGAATCTCATATATTTAAAGAAAATATTCAGAACAAAAAAAAAGAGACACAGACTGCGAACTCTTCAAGAATTGAATGCGTTTGAGATTAACGACGCAAGAACTGTTAGAAATATAAAAACGTATAGTTTTATTGTATACAGTGTCAAATAAAGATGTAACTTTAGTTTGTTTGTTGTTTTTTTTTTAACCCCGAGTGAATAAAAGGCGAATGATACAAATCGAAGAGACGAAAGAGAAATATAGATTAAAATATTTCTTTGTCAAGTGATTCCCTAATGAATTATTAGTTTTTTTCAGGAAATATTGTCCGATTTTAGAATAAACCTATTGAGTTATAATATATTATTATAGTAGTTACAAAAACATATTACTAGTTCTAATGATTAAGGTTACGGCCATATCACGTCGAATTTATTCCTGCCTCAAAAACAAATCTAGTCTCACTGAAAAAAAATCACCTGGCCGTGCGTCTCGAAAAGGACCTGCAATCGATTGTGAACTGGGGCAAGAATTGGCCGGTCAACTTCAACGCTTCGAAGACAAAACTGCTCTCTATTAATCAGCACAGAGAGCCTTCCCTTCCCTCCATTAGAATGTCTGACGCTCAACTTCTCGAAAGCAACTCTCTGCGCCTTCTCGGTCTCATGTTGACTGCTGACCTGAGATGGAATAAATACATTGAGTCAATTGCTTCGTCCACCTCAAGGAAAGTTGGCTCCCTGAGCCGCGCCAGGAAGTTTTACTCCCCGGAGTCGATCCTCCACATCTACAAATCAACAATTCGCCCTTGCATGGAATTTTGCTGCCATATATGGTCTGGTGCCCTTTCTGTTTGCCTCGGGGTTCTTGATAGGCTCCAGAGGCGGATATGCAATGTAGTTGGCCCTGCTCAGGCATCTCGTCTACAGTCACTTTCTCACAGACGCGCCGTCGCCTCCCTCTGTCTGTTCTACAAATACTTTCAAGGAAATTCATCCGAGGAGCTGCATTCGCTAGTTTCCAGACGTCATGAGTTCAAGCACCATACGAGGCTGGCATCCCGCTCTCACCCCTTCACTGTCGAAACTCCTAAATGTAGCCGTCTCTTCTACTCCAATAGCTTCATGTCTCGCACCTCTCGCCTGTGGAACTCCCTTCTTTATTCCTGTTTCCCTGTGAGCTATAATCTCCAGCTATTCAAGTGTAATGTCAATCGACATCTCCAGTTGCCTTGATCTATCCACTACCCTTTCTTCTATCACTACTATCTGATCTTGCTCTAAATTTTCTGTAACCCCTTGCGTCCTAATGGCTTCCCGCCTTGCTTGCGGTGAAATGCTTAAAAAAGCAAAAAACAAAAAACTGATCACGTACGATCACCGAAGTTAAACAACGTCGAGACTGGTCAGTACCTAGACGGATGACCGCTTGGGAATACCAGGTACTGTATGCTTGGTGTGCAGGTGGCGTAATAACTCGGAATTCGAAACCAGATATCCGAGTTCCAACTCCGTTCGCGTTCGTTATATTCATAGGCAGAAAAAAAAAAACTTTGGAAAAAGAATTAATCCATCTCTTCTAATCCCAGCTATAGATTAATTAGTAAGACTTGTAAATCATTTTTGGCCTCCAAATATTTATACAATCTAAATATATTTTTCTGTCTTAAAATAAGATTGATAAGCCGTCAAAAAGAGATCAGTGAATCCTACGATTGCAGGCTTTGTTAATATTATATTAATATTTTTCAGAATTTAAATTAAAACATTATATATCTCTCATGTTGAATACTAGAAAAAGGAGAGATACGTTTGCTTCTTTAGCCTGATTAAACGATTTTGTCGTCATGCTCCCGAAACTGCTGTCAGTATTAACAGAGATTGGGGTGACAGATCCACTGGAGATCGGATACTGTGGCGCTATTCATTGACCTCATTGGTGATACGGTTCTTGATGATCAGTCCATCTGCAATTGATAGTCTACATAAAGAAATACAAGCCGAAAAAAAGCACGACAGTGAGCGAGAAATATCTCAGGTAATGTGTGACAAAACTATCACTTAGTCTCAGGAAAAATTAGTAACGTGAAGAAACTCGATATGTGTGTTACACATGCATTCAGTTGGAAACCTCGACGTGGTGTAATGTTTAGAAAGCATGTCTTGCTAGATCTATTACGACTGAGTAGTGAGTTCGATCCTCACTGGGTACCCCATTCCTTCGGCCTTTGCCAAATCTAAGCTGTGCTTAGAAAATCAAGGGCACCTCGAGTTGGTTTAATGGTTAGCACGCTTGTCTTGGTAGAACAGTTAAGAGCAAGTAGTGAGTTCGATCCTCACTGGGTGCCTCGTACGTTCGGCCATCTGCCGCATCTGAGCTACGATTGGGAAATTAGTATTTGGGCACCTCGACGAGGTGTAATGGTTAGAAAGCTTGTCTTGCTAAATCAGTTACGACTGAGTGCTCCCATACTTTCGGCCTTGTGCCAAATCTGAGCTACGCTTGGAAAATTACTATAAGGATACCTCAACGTGGTGTAATGGTTAGAAAGCTTTTCTTGCTAAATCAATTAAGACTGAGTAGTGAGTTCGATCCTCACTGGGTGCTCCATACTTTCGGCCTTGTGCCACATCTAAGCTATGATTAGAAAATCACTATCAATTATTTGGGAGCTCGAGATGGTGTAATGGTTAGCAAGCTTGTCTTCCTTGAACAATTACGACTGAGTAGTGATTTCAATCCTCATTGGGTGCCCCTTATTTTCGGCCTTGTGCCACATCCAAGTATGCTTGGAAAATCACTACACATGCACTCAGTGATAGCAAAAGTGTTTGACGCCTTGAAATGTGTTCGATACTGTATCAGAATTCGGATGATCCATTTTTGATTGAAGAGTGACTTATGATGGAAAATGGATCCTTTATGAGAAACGTAAACGATCTTTTCAATAGGCTGACCATGAAGAGGCGCCCAGATATTTTCCAAAAGCGAAATTACACCAACAGAAGATTATGGTGAATACTTAGGGGCCCGACATTGGCGTTATCTATTACGGCTTTCAGGGCATCACTGCCGAAGATAACTGCCAGCGACTGGATGAAGTACACATTCAGTTAAGCCAAATGTGACTGGCACTGGTTAATCGACAAGGTCTAATTCTGCTTCATGACAATGTTCGAGCCCATGCTGCCTGGATGACACTGAAGAAGCACAACAAATGGGATAAAAAAACAAAAACTTATCCATATTCTCTTGATCTCTCACCTAACTTAAAATGACAGATTGTAAAGCCAAAAGATATTAATTTACAAAAAAAAAAAAAAAAAAAAAAAAGATGCATAAAAACAATTCCAACATTTCTTTGCCTTCAAATATTTAGGCTTTTATCGTAACGGTATAAATAACAATGTAACAGCAGAAAGGTATAGATATATATTTACAGTTCCTATTATAACTGATTTGAACATTTTTTAAGCATTTCTACTCAAGCAAAGCAGGAATGTCGCTAGCACCCAAGGGTTTACAGAGACTGAAAATTAAAATAAAGAGGGGTGTTTGAGAAAGGATAATGAGAAGGACAGGGATCAATATGCACGCATCAGAAGATCTCGATTGACATTACATTTAAATTTGAAGTATATATATATTAATTAAGGAGTAAATGTTGATTCAAAATCGGATCCTAACATTCGATTACTGAGCATCCTTTACATTTTGACGTAAAATTTGAATAAAATATTTAAAATGCATACATTTAGAAAAGAAAGGAACATAAACAGGCTTTTCAGTTTTCAAATAAAACATCTGAATTTAATGGACGCAACGGTTTTACCAAATTTTCTTATGTAAATTAAAAGACGATTAACTTCCTCTGGTTGATTTCATTTTTGTCTTTCTTTTAAGGCATATAAATTATCAGATTTTTTTCTTCTTTCTGTGACTTTGAAAACAGTAGGCATCGCTTAGAATAAATGTTGTCGGCCCGGCAAGTGCAAATGGAGTGTTTAGTTAGGATATCGTTTTTGTCTACAGTCGAGAAACGAAATTAGTTAAATCTATGTCATTCACACAGCTCTCGAACCACTGTCTGAATTCTGGGATGAAAAATGTCAATTATACCATTATATGTTTTCCTATTCCATGGCGTTCTATACTTCAAGCCTAATCATAATGCAACCCAGGCCCAAGCTGGACATATATTATCCAAAACACTATTACAACTGGGAGCGACACGTTTTAGTTTCGGTTTAGATTGTCGGCAGCTCGTTGCTCTTGACAGGTTAAGAAAATTAAAAAAAACATTTTTAAAATCTAATTCGCCCCAAGGCATTGCGACACAAAGGGGTTACTTAGTGTGGAAGTGTAAGAAACAGGAATATTGCTAAGGATCTGGAACAGAGAATACATTTGGAATAAGCATATTTAATTGAAATAAGTATAACTGATGTGGGGCCAAAGTTGGGACCACAGAGGTAAAACACGGAACACGGATTAGATGTAAGAAAGATATATTAACAACAGGTTACAGAGATAGTGTAAGCAGAGCTTACTATATCACTCTCTATGTGATTCCCTAGAGTGTTATGTCGTCTACTTAATATAGGCCTGGAAAAGTCTATTGTGTAGGTAGTTTCCGGTCTCACAATAATAACGTATTTATTTTATCTCTTTCGGGCTAGCTATATTATTTTGTGTTGACTGAAAAACAAATTTTATTGCACAAAATTTACGATAATATGACATCTAGGAATCATGATCATGTCATTTGGAAGTTTAACAGTTAAAGTTGGTTTAAGTTAACACAATATTCTTGTCTAATTTTTTATTCGTAAAAAAAAACACTAAAGATATTCTTGAATTTTTTATATGTTTCCGTTTCTAACATTGTGCAACAATTTGCATCCCACCATTAAAGTAAAACCTAAAAACTTACACATGGCAGTAAGTTCTAATCAATAAAATTCGTAACTTTTTATTCGTTTAAAGAAATAATTTATTGATCCGAGCTGTCTAGTTTTGCTTTTTACAAACGTCAAAAAGTCTCTCTCAAGTAAGTTAATTTTTGTAATGTTTTAAGTATATTACTCCCATTTTACTCCTAATTTTTGTAATGTTTTAAGTATATTACTTGAATGAACTGATTGAATAGACACACACACCTCACAAACACACACACACATATATATATATTTAAAATTAATATATAAGTATATTTAATTTTAACTAACTTTGAATTATTAATTTAAGTATATTTTTAATATACTTCTCTTTCGAAAATTATTTTCTTGATTCATATGCCCCACCACGTATATATATATATATATATATATATATATATATATATATATGCACAGCTGTGGACAAAATAATTGGAACAGTTGCAAAATCCACTCCTATATTTCAAAGACCTATTATATTAAGAACTTTAACTAAAACTTTGTAATTGCAGGTTATATCTATTGTAAATACGTTTATTTATCTAATTTACTGTCTTGTGACCTCTCCGAGTTCGAAAAAGAGCAAATTGTTGGAGCTCGCACGGCAGGAGCCTCGATCACTAAGGTTACTGAACTGTTTGATTTTTCAAAAGCTACCATATCAAGAACACTGATGCAATTCGAGAAACATGGCAAGACCTCTAGCAAACGTAGTAATTCGGGTTGAACTTGCAAACTTACTGACAGGAACTGACGTGCATTGAAACGCAATGTGGCAAATAAAAATCATCGGATAAATGCGGCCAAAGTGACTGCTGAGTTGAATAACCATCTGAATAGTTCAGTTTCTACTAAAATTGTTCACCATGAGCTCCATAAGGCTGCATATCATGGAAGAGCCGCTGTGAGGAAACCTCTTCTCTCCACTCGCAACATTTAGAAGAGGTTGAAATGGTGCAGAGATCAAAATGCTTGGTCTGCAGACCAATGGAAGCAAGTCATATTTAAGTCCAGTTTTTCTCTTTTCCCAACATCAGGGCGAGTTTATGTGTGAAGGCAGCCCAAAGAAGCTTACAACCCTGACTGCCTTCTTCCAACAGTGAATCATGGAGGTGGATCAGTGATAGTTTGGGCCGCCATATCATGGAAATGTCTCAGTCCAATAGTTACCCTGCATCGTAGAATTAACAGCAAAGATTACCTGAACATTTTGGGAGATCATGTTCATCCAATGGCCAAGACGTTATTCCCTGATAGTGACTGCAACTTCCAAGATGTTAATGCGCAAATACATACCACTCGAGTGGTTAAGAATTGGTATGAAGAGCATGAAAGTGAGCGAGAACACATGGAGTGGCCTCCCCAATCTCAAGATATTAACATTTGTGAGCATTTTGGAGCAACAAGTTAGGAGCCGCTATCCTCCACCATCGTGTAGTAAAGAGCTGAAGAAGGTTTTAACGGAGGAATGAGTGAGAATTCCTCTGGTTGTAGTCAGAAAGCTTATTGATTCCA